CACCATCACCACCACCACCATGATCACCATCACCACCACCACCACCACCGCCACCACCACCACCGCAACCACTGCCACCACCATCATCATCCTAACCTTATTTTCTTGTTCTTTTCCAGGAAGCATTTTGTTGGCAATGACCCGGAGAATGGCAAAACAGAATGAGATTCCTTCTTTCATTTGTTTTTAAACTGCGGAAATGGATATCTTCAGACCTTATGAACTGTGGGCATGCCAAAAGCTGTCTTGGGAATTGATGGCAAATATATATGCTGCTTCATTTTACTAACTTGCAGAAATCATTAAAACTAATAGCTTAAAGTATAGAGCCCTCAAATGGCCTTCTTATCAGTTTGTAAGGGGTGGTGAACCAGATTCTGGTGGGCAGAACCAGAATCTTAGCTGGTGCTGATGGAGCTGGGACCTCCAGACCAGGAGTTGGGGCAGGCCACCTGCCCTAAGGACTTTGGGGAAGTCTTGTTCAGAGTAGTGAAGCACACCACTTGGGGCCACTTAGTTTTCTGATCATCTGTTTTTTTTCCCCCCGTGTTTTCTGCCGTAATAAACATTGGTGTTAAATTTGTTTTTTGCGGTGTCCACTTTTCTTTCCCTACAAAAAAGAAGAGGAGATTTCCTTTCTTTTTTATCTTTATGAATCCAGCATGAAAAAACTTACTGTTCTTTGACTAAATGAATGGATGAAAATACAAACACCCAGCGATTTTGCACAAGAGTCATCTTTTTTTTGTAAAGAGTTGATTTGCCCAAGGCCAACTCTGGAAATGGGGTCATAACTCAATATCAGGTGCACACCCTGGTCTTCTAGCAAAGGAGACACTTCTTGTGGAAAGTGGGTTGCAGCTGCTGTGTTTCAGCACCCCTCACCTGCCACACAACCTTAGAATCCCCAGAGTGGACAATCAAAGACCAACAAAAGCAGAAATTCAGAGGGCAAGAGAAGAGAACTGAATGATTCTATGGAAATGAGAATCTTTGCAGCTGCTGTGTTTCAGCACCCCTCACCTGCCACACAACCTTAGAATCCCCAGAGTGGATAACCAAAGACCAGCAAAAGCAGAAATTCAGAGGGCAAGAGAAGAGAACTGAATGATTCTATGGAAATGAGAATCTGGTATCCTCAAGAAAAGGTAAGGAGGGGTGCCCATACACTCTGGGCATGGAGCAGGGTGTGTCTCAAGGGAGGCTGGGAGAGGCTTGTCTAGGGAGAAAGTTACTGCGCCTCTCTATAATAATGACACCAACCTTTACTTTATGCTCACTATGTGTCAAATCCTATGCTAAGTTTTTTACATACTATATACCTCACTTAATCATCATACCTAATGTATGCAGGGATATGGTCATTATCCCCACTTTATAGATGAGGAACCTGAGGTTTATAAAATATAGGTATTGTATTAGTTTTCTCCCTTGGTTATAACAGGTTACAGTCCTGACAGTGGGAGAGAGCAGTGTTTTAAAATCCAGGCATGGAGCCAGGCTTCCCATGTTCAAATCTTGGCTCCACCACTGACTAGCTGTGTGCCCTTGGGTAAGCTGATTAACCTCTCTGGGTCTCAATTCTCCTACCTGTAAAATGGGTATAATAGTAGTATTTAGTTCAAAATGTTGTGATAATTATTGAGTAACCACTCCATAAAGCTAGCTCCTACTATTTTTAAAAAATCCTGGGCATAATTATATTAATCAAGATAAAGTCTCTCTCTCTCCATCTATATATATTTATAATTTTTTATTTAGAAAAAAGTTTGGAGAGGTGGGGAATAAGTATTCTCGTCATTTTCTAGGCCATTTTTTTGATGTCCATCATTACAATTTTATAATTTTCTTTGTAAAGATCACGCATATCTTTTGTTAGCATTAATTCTAGATACCTTACAGGACTTTTAAAATTATAACTGGAATATTCTCATAATTACATTTTCTAGTTGGTTATTCTGGCGTGTATGGGAAAAATATTGATTTTTTTGTATATTGATTGTATCCAGAAGCATCCCTCCTGGGAAGCTTCCACAGACAGCTCTACCAAGGTTATTTCCAATGGGAGGCAGCTCATAGGCCTCCCAGCTACCTGAAGGAGGAGCAGAGACCCTTGTCTGGTGTCTGATGGCCTGGGTTTGGGGGTCAGAAAGGATGGATGTAAGGGTTTCCAGAGGGAATTGCATTTCATATTTCATTTAACCAGCACTGAGCCCCTTGCAAGGAAGTGTGCTTATTCCTTTTAGAGGTTCAAAGATGAATACGATCCCAGTTTAAATGAACTCCCCATCCAGCGGCGGAGACAGACATAAGAGCAGGCAGCTGCACTGTAAATCAGGGGGTTGGCAAACTTTTTCTGTAAAGGGCCTGATGGTAAGCATTTCTGTCTTGTGGGCCATATAGTCTCTGTCTTATATAGTCTCTATCTCCTATTGTACTCATAAAGCAGCCGTAGAGAGTAAATAAGTGAATGGGCATGGCTGGCTTTGGCCCATGGGCTATAGCTTAAGGACCCTACTGTAGACTGATAAGGGCCGTGGGACAAGATGGAGACAAGGTGGTGGGAAGAAACCTCGTTTCGGAGAGAGACAGATTCTAATTGCAACTTAACCTTGTTCTGAGTTGCGTGACTAGGTGAGCCTGTTAGTCTCCTGTCTTTGTTTGGGATAGCAACATTGACCTCTAGATTGCTGGCAGTGTCACATGAGGTAGCCACTGACATATTAACGAGCACTTCAGATATGCCAGGCACCATGCTGAATGCCTTCACTGCATTGAAATGAGGTAAGTACCATTGTTATCTCCATTTTACAGATGTGGCCCCTTGACGTTTAGTCATGTGCCCAAAGTCAGAAAGTCACAAAATTCGGCAGAGACTTGCCCCAGAGCCCACAGTGTGAACCCCACGCTGGGTTCTTCCCTAAGGCCTGTGGGAAGTGCCCACACCAGGGCCTGGCTCTGGGAGCTGGTGGAGACGTACAGCTGTGCTGCAGCCACAGCCCGGGGGCGCGGGTGATTCTGCGCATTGGGTCTCCATGCCTCGCTCAGTGCTCCGCCAGGCGATGGGGGGGTGGACGTTCAACGAGTATCCACTTGCTGGGGGCTGAATTCTCTCCCTGCCTTGCCTAACACAGGAGGTACCTAACTATCTCTCTCAGGGGAGGTTGGGGATGGCTTCGAGGGGAGGCGCCACTTGCAGCAGAGGCAGGAAGGGTAACAAGCAGGGGACCAGGTGGAAAAGGGGAGGAAAGGCATTTCAGGCCAAGGGAAAAGCTCTGTGCAAATGCATCTGGACTTTGCTCTGAATCCCTGCTCCTCCTTCTTCCTGCAGCTTTCTGTCGTGGACAGTGCCCCGATGCCAGACACTGGCCTTTGTTGATCTTGGTTTCTGGACCCAGTTCACTTTTGCTCATTTATTCCCTGTGTCAGGCACTGTGCTAGGCACTGGGGACTCTGTGGACTAGACAGACCCAGTCCTGTCCTTGTGGAACTTCCACTCGAGCAGAGGCCGGCTGTGGAAGAACGCATAGTGTGCTGCAAGCTATGAAGAAGACAAGATGCCCAGGTGTGTGTGGCATCAATGGGTACCCCACCTAGTGTGGCTTGCCAGGGAAAGCTTCCGACAGGGGGCACCTTTGATGATGGTGAAGGAATTAGCTTGAAAAGGAAATGGAAGTGGGGATGAAAAGTGGGGTGGGATGGAGAGAGTTGTGGCAGCAGGGGCAGCAGCAGGTGCAGAGGCCCTGAGATGGGGAAGGAGCTGGACTGTTCTAGGAGCTTCCAGAAGGCCCTCATGGCCTCACCTGAAGAATGAGGACAGGGTGTCTGCACCAAGGCTGGGAGGCAGGCAGGGGCCAGGTGGATGGGCCTCGCAGACCTCAGTAAGAAATTTGGACGTTATCACAGGGACACAGAGAAACAGATGGGAATGGAGGCAGAAAGCCACAGCCAGGACCCTTAACTTCAAATCAGAGTGTGCGCAGCCCCATGGAGCTAGCCAGCAAGTCTCACACAGCCCAGTTACCATCCCTCCAAACCTGTAAACTCACCTATTCGAAAACAAGTCCCTACTTCAGGGATTTTTCAATTGATTAAAATTGACAACTCATTTTTCTGTGTGGTTCAGTTTTTTGGGTGGTTCAAATCTCGCTTTCTCTTTAAGTACATGGGGCCCTGCCTTTCCTCTGTCCTGCTCATGTCAAAGGTTTTCTCTTCCTCTCTTTTGGTTTAATGGACAAAATACAGCTGTCTTCTCAAAGTGTGGCCCCGGGGGCCACCAGGCCATGTGTTAGATATGCAAATTCTCAGGCACCACTCAGACCTTCTGAATCAGAAACTCTGGCCCTGAAGCCCAGTGATCTGTGTTTTAACAAGGCCTCCCAGTGATTCTGGTGCATGCTGGAGCTCGGGAACCACTGGCCTAGAGCTTCCTGAAACTTCATGGTGTTGTAGGAAGAACCTGAGATCAGGATCTGGGAGACCTCAGTTCCTGTCCACTTTACTAATTTCTCTAGTAAATAAGTTCTGAGGGCCTACTGTGTTCCTTGCCCTGTTCTAGGCCCTGGGGATGCAGAGATGAACAAGATAGACATGGCTGACTTTTTAAAAAAGTGTTGCAGTAAGATTCATATAATATAAAATTCACCATTTTAAAGTATACAATTCAGTGGTGTTTAGTACATTCACAATGTTGTGCAACCACCACCACTATCTAGTTCGAGAACATTTTGTTACCCCCAAATAAGACCCTGTAGCCATTAATCAGTCATTCCCTATTTCTCCCTCCTTCCAGCCCCTGGCACCCACCAGTCTGCTTTCTGTCTCTATGGATTTGCCTATATGGAGGCTTTTGTATCTGGCTTCTTTCACTTAGCATATGTGTTTAAGTGTATCAGTGTAGCATGTATCAGCACTTCATTCCTATATATATATATATTTTTTTTTACTTTATATTTATTAATATTTTGGCTGGCTGGTATAGGGATCCAAACCCTTGACCTTGGTGGCACTCTAACCAACCGAGCTAACTGGCCACCCAGCATTTCATTCCTTTTTATGGCTAAATAACATTCCACTATATGGATAAGCACATTTTCTTTATCCATTCATCAGTTGATGAGCATTTGGATTGCTTCTACCTTCCGGTTGTCGTGAGTAGTGCTGCTATGAACATTCATGTACAAGTTTTTGTTTGAACACCTGTTTTCAATTCCTTTGGGTGTATACCGAGAAGTATGTTTTAGTCCACTTTGTGTTGCTATAACAGAATACCTGAACTGGGTAATTTATAAAGAACAGAGGTTTATTTGTCTTACGATTCTGGGACAGCTGCATCTGGCATGGGCCTCAGGCTGCTTCTACTCATGGCAGAAAGTGGCAGGCAGCCGGCAGGTACAAGCAGATCACATGGTGACAGGAAGCGAGGGAGAGAGGGGAGGTGCCAGGGTCTTTTAAACAACCAGCTCTTGCATGAACTAATAAAGCGAGAACTTACTCATTACTCCCCCCACCTAGGGAGAGAACCAATCCATTCAAGAGGGATCCGCCCCCATGACTCCATCAGTTTCCAACACTGCCGCATTGGGGATCAAATTTCCACATGAGTTCTGGGAGGACAACACACTCATTACTCCCCCCACCTAGGGAGAGAACCAATCCATTCAAGAGGGATCCGCCCCCATGACTCAATCAGTTTCCAACACTGCCGCATTGGGGATCAAATTTCCACATGAGTTCTGGGAGGACAACACATCCAAACTCCATCAGAGTAGAACTGCCAGATCATATTGTTAATTCTGTTTAACTTTTTGAGGAACCAGCAAACTTTTTTGCATAGTGGCTTCCCCATTTAACATCCCCACCAACAATGTACAATTTTTCTCCACATCCTTGCCAACAACTCATTATTCTCCATTTTTTAAAAAAATTAAGCTATTCTACTGGGTGTGAAGCAGTAACTTATTATGGTTTTGATTTGCATTTCCCTAATGACTAATAATGTTGAGCACCTTTTCATGTTCTTGTTGGCTGTTTGTATATCTCCTTTGGAGAAATGTCTAAGTCCTTTTCCCATTTAAAAATTTGGTTGTCTTTTTGTTGTTAAAGGGCTGATGTTTTTGCAGTGACTAGAACACAGCTTACTAAGGGTAAAATTTTGTACAAGTTACTAAACCCCTCCTGCCTCAGTTTCCTCTTCTGTGCAGAGGGAATAATGGTAGAACATATGATAAAGGGTGATTGTGAAGATGAAATGATTTACTGTGAAGCTTCTGGATTGCTTGGCACATGGTAGGTCTCTGCTATGTAATTGATAGTCCTCATTATACGTGGGATGAGACTAACAATAGTAACTAAACAAGAAATTAGCAGAGCTTAATAACTGCTGGGAAGTAAATAAAACCATGATGCAATAGAAGGTGACTGGAAGGCTATTTTAGGTTGGGTGGACAAGGAAGGCTTTTCGGAGGAGGTGACACTTGAGCTGACACCGGAATGACAGGAAGGAGCCAACTGCATGAAGATCCATGTACAGGAAGGGCATTCCAGGCTGTGAATGGCTAGGGCAAAGGTCTAAGGCAGGAACAAGCCCAGCCAATTCAAGAAACTGCTTGAGGGAAGTCCAGGTGCTTGGGCAGGGGTGGGGAAGGCTGAGCTTTCCCTGTGTGAGGGTCCAGGCTGACAGTGACAGTGTGAGAAGTGATAGCCTTTGGAATCAGGAAGCCAGGATGTGTGGGTCTCTGCTTATTAGCTAAGAAACATAAGACAACTCACTGAGCCCACTTGAAAAGGCCTTTGTTTTCTTATGTTAAAATTGAGGCTGGTTATACCTACTTCTTGGGGCTACTCCGTAACTCAAATGAGATAAAGTAAAGTCGAGGGGCATACATGTGAGGCAGTATTAATTGCATCAGTGTGGGTAGGGGATGCTCAGTTGCAGCTCAGCTAATCCGCTGGTATGGGCTAAAGAAGAGGACGTGCAGAGTTGGTGCGTTTGAAAATACCTTTTTGTAAGGGTGGTCGTGGAGAACATGACCTAGGCTCTTCTACCTCAGTGTCATGGTTCCTGCAACCCTCTTAGCCTCCCTGCTGCCTTCCCACCTTCCTTGAATCGTCCTTCAAGGTCCAGTCCAGTTGAACTCCTATTGAGCACCTCCCACGTGCCAGGCACGCATGACACGGTCCGTGTCTTCAAGGAGCTTACAGTACCACCAAGCCCACAAGGTTTCTTCCTTTTGTGGTAGCTAGAATCATTGCTCCCTCTCCTGCATTGCTGTAGCACTTCGTCCTTAGGGCATAGAGGAGGTCCACGGAGAGGAGCTTGGGTTTTGGAGCCCATTGCGTGTGGAGTAGAATCCTGGTCTCCTTACTAGTATCCATTGTCCATACAGCCCGGTGCAGTGGCTGAGAGCACGCTGAAGCCAGGCTGCCTGGTTTAACGCCAGGCTCACCAATCACTTGTCACTTAAACCTCTTTGTGCCTTGGTTTTCTCATCATGGAGTAGTACTTACCTCATAGGGTTGTGATGAGGATTTCACAGAGGTAATTTTACTTTGGTAAAGTGCTAGAAGAATGCCTGGCAGACAAGTGCTATGTAAATATTTATCTGTTAAAATCAATAAAATCATTAAAAACATTAGCTTTGTGACCTAGCCGTTTGGGAGTCAGAGCCTCAGTTTCCAAATCTGCACATTGGGGCTATTGTGAGGTTCCAGTGGGATAACTGCGTGCACGATGTCTGGCACTGAGTCTCCCCACTAACGCCAGCTCCCTTATTCTCTCTCAGCCGTGTGTCACGCTGGGACCCTGTCTGCCTTTCCCAAGAACGCCCCCAGAGCAGGGAAACATGCCTTCTCTGTGGCCCAGGGGTGCACCACTTAAAGTTCTTAGGAATCTGTGCTCTTTGAAATTGGACAAGGAGAGGAGAAATCGCTTCTCTGGTTTGGAAAAGAAAATGGACACGGTGTGTGCGTGCGCGTGTGTGGCAGAGCCGGCGGTGGGACACTGCCCCGGCCACACCCCCGCCAGCCCACACAGAGCTGCTCTGTGGAGGGAGCGATTTATGGAGACTCGGGCCGCCCGGAGCCAGGGCAGGGCGCGGGGGCTGCGAGGGCCCGGCCGGCCACTAGGGGTCAGTGTGTCCCCGCCGCAGGCGCCCGCGGACCG